AAAAATATAATTATTGTTAAATATGTTTTATGAAGGGGGTACTTTCGGAGTTCCATTTATTTTCTATAACAAGAACCCTCTTTTATAGACTGTCAGGGATATATATTAAAAATGTTAGGGATACTTAATTTATTAAAATAATTTGAAAAGTACATATTTTTATGCAGTAAAATTTTAAATTGATATAGTTTTTTTTATGAATTCTCTAGTTTAAGTTATCTTTCTACATTTTTCTTTGGAGATGCAAACATAAATTAATACCATATTTCAAATATACTGCCATGTTTAAAAAAAAAAACCAACCTAGATTAAGTTTCTAAATTATGTGGTTTTGTACACAGAATCTGAATGATGTTCAGAGGCATTACAGAGTTCTGAGGAGCATTATTCTTTGAGGCTATGAAATTCTACTATGTACAGTTTGTAGCCACATAAAAAGCATGCTGAAATGTCTTGTTTCATACTATGAACTAAATCTGCAGTGATTTTAGATTGAATCCATTGCATTTTAGAAGAATTTTTTTGACTCCAAACAGTTCTTTCTAAAAATCTTTGTAGACATTTCCTAGCCTGGACAAATTCATTTTCTGTACTGAAAGAAATCATTCTCCAGCTTTGCTTTGGAGTGACAGAGTTACCTTATATCAAAAGAATTAATAGTAATTAGATACATTTGATCCACAGAGGTCTCCTTTTAAAAAGTTCCAGTTTTGCAGTGTTTATTTTAGATACATTACAGTGAGTAGTTGCTGTTTATTTTTATTCCATTGTTCAAGAACAAGGTTTCAGTTGGACTCCTTTATTGATCAGTGTAGTAACTCGCACTAACTTTTAATTTGGCCTCAAGTTAGTACCCTGCCTTTTTGTTTCAAGGGAAACAACAGTGATCTTAAATGAGTCAGAAATTCGGTCAGGAACAGAAAGTAGTCTGGATTGAATCCGGAGCAGAATCGTTGCAGCACTAATGCTGCTGCTGCTCTTAAGGATCCTCCTGCTTAGGTGCTTATGTGCAAGGACACAGGCATGGGAAGACTGAGGTTACCCAGTCAGAAACGGTCGGGAAGAAGAGAGGCAGAAATTCCTCTCTTTAATAGGAACAAAGTGCCTGATTGACACTGGAGGGAGGCATCTACCCTGGCTTGGGGGTTCTCAGCTGTGCTATGAACCAGCCTCCTGGAATGGACATCTCAAAAGCTGGCCCAATTTTCCCTGTGGAAGAAACCCCTCTGTTAGCCCCGGCATCTTTGTGGTCAGGGCACAGATGTGCAAAACCTGTTGTGGCATCCCTGACCTACAGTAGGGATCTTGAATTCCTAGCTCCAGCATGAAGGTTCAACTAATAGATTTGGCCTCTTTTCACAACATAATTTTAAGGAGCAGGAGCCTTAAACTGACTCCCCAGTACTGCAAGCCACCGCTGCTGGGATATAGAGTCAACCTGTCTTTTCTTCTGCCTTCTTGGAAAATGGTGTCATAGCTTTGACAGTTCAGCAATATTCAAGTTTAAGAGCTTAACTGCTCTAGGCTAAGTGACCGTAGCCTATTGTGGTGCCACAGCCCAGTTCGTTACATAGATAAAGCCATCAAATTATCACCATGCAGTGGCTTTTTATCACACGTTAGCTAGCAAAGGTCTAAGAAAGTAATTAGGTTTTCTTCTCAGCTGTGCCTGCGAATGAATGATGCAAGTAATTTAAACTATAGCTATTTATCACAATTTAGATTGCAGAAATATGTTAGGTAATGCAGTTTCTTAATATAAGTAGTTTTGCTGACAGCGACTTTCAGCTTTCTCCAGGAGTTCAAAAGTTTACTGGTACCACTTATTTAAGCAAGCTGTGTGCTTATTCTCAAAGCATCACTGTTCCTGATGTTTCATAGTAGTTAAGATGAATCATTGCTAATATATCTGAATATATAGAGGCCTTACCGTGTTGATTGCAGGACTCTGGTTAACAGCATATTTAGGTTTAAAAATGTTGAGATGAAATTTATCAAAGACAACAAATTAACTAGTGCTTGGTAAAATATGTGAGGTTTTTTTCTGAAGATCGTTGCATTTTTACTGCATTTTGCATTGTGCTGTCAGGAGTTGGAAATACTCTGGGCTGCTTTAACACTTTACATTTTCCTGAGCTTATAGGCTCTCTAAATAAATGTGCCACGTTAATACAAATTATTTTTTGTAGTTTCAGGTGAATTTAGAGATGGTATAATCAGATAGTACTGCAAATTTGCTTGGAAATTCTGCTGAGATATAGAAAAAGCAGCAAAAAAAATTTCTATTTAATTACCTCTGCATATAGCTATTTTGGGCTTTCTACCTTTCAAATTCCAATCCCCAAGTCAGTGGTGCACGCCTCCTTCCTGGAATTATGGTGAAATTAGACTGCTTGGGCTGTTTGCCTCAACAGTCATTAGCTCGGGCACTGTTTATGACTGGGTGTACTCCAGGGCTTGTGTCCTTTAGACATCTCAGCTGTAAGTTACAGTATTACCACAAGAGTTCCTCTTGGCATCTTAAACCTATCACCTGATTTTTGGGATTTTTTTTTTTTTTTTCCTACATGTGTTCAAGTTATTTTTGTTGTGGCCTTAAAAATCCCCTCTAGGCCGCTGAATCTTAATCAAGTAACTGAAAGTGTTTCAAAATAAACTGTGCTATCCTATGATCCTATTAGCTCCTTGTGATGCTGTTAAAGCTTCAGAAAAGAGAACTTCTGTGAAACCAAAGGCATTACCAGAAACCTTCAATATCTGGGCAAATTATCCATACCTTCTTATAGTGGATGCCAGACAGAGCAGCTGATATGAGCACTGGCTTTTCTGAGCTGATCAGGGTTGCTCTGGACAAGAAAATACAAGACTGTGAGTATAATCTCGCTTTGCTTGTTCAGTGGGTTCCAGTCTTGCTGGAAACTTTGTAAATAATGTGAACAGGATATGATCCCAAATTAGCACTTTTTATTTTTTTTTTTTTTATTTAGAGTGCTTCTAAAGCACTGTATGTGGCTTTGCACTTTTGCAGGCGTCTGAACCATTTATTTGGATTGATAGAAAATATTTCTATAGATACATTTGTGGTTTTTTTAACTGAAAGATGGCTTAGAAAAATTCAAACAGATAAACATGATTTGTGGACCAATAAAAGACTGGACTCTCCTGTCATATCGCTGCTTGCCTACCTGTTTCAAAAGCAGTTTTTAAATACCTTGAGTCAGTTTAGAGCAAAGCAACTTTGCCCACATGATACACGATTCCTTGACTGGGCTGGAGTGCCATTAGTCTCTGGCAACCTTGAACAACTGTGTAACATTTTTCCTTCATTTTTTTCCAAGTATATCGTCATTTCAGTAATCTCTGAGGTTTTTTTGTTGAAAATATATGCTCCAAATGAAGTATTGTAATAATTTGTAGTTTGCTTCCAACTTGGAAAATCTTGTTTTAGTTTTGTAGGGGAAAAGAAAGAATTAAATCTCTTCAAACCTTGTTCCCCTGAAATAAATTAACCCTAGGTTCTATATTTGTTCTTACTGGAAAAGGATACATTCTGAAAAAGCTAAAGTAACTGTAGTAGAAAGGGAAAACAAAAAAACTATGTTTTTAAATCATCTTTACAATCACCAGCATAATGCTGAGAAGCTATTAAAACAACTGGTGTTTTCAGGCGAGCGTGGATTGCTGATGTAAAAACCACACCCTGCGCAGACCTGATGAATTAGTCTTTGAGTGTCACTTTTCTGACCTTAGTGGTCTCTTAAGGGTTTTGCTGATTTCTGCTCTGAGCAGCTAGAAATTAAAGTAACTTAGTTTTGAGAAGGGTGAAGCCTTCTTTCAGGGGGACATGCTTCGCCGTCTGTAAAGGGAAGGTACGCAGGCCCAGAGTCCTTCACTGATTTCGAGGGCATCGCACCACAGGGCGCCAAATATGAAGTATTTTTGCTGTTGAAGTGAAGTGGGTGACTCCTGTCAGGGGAGAAGGTGCAGAGTTAGGCCGCAGCTGCCTGCGGGACGGGAGCTGGGGCTGTCAGCCAGGGTGGGAGCGGGGCCTGACCAGAATCCTTCGCCTTGCGCGGGTCAGCGGCTCGGTGCTTTCCTTGTGAAAAGGGGAACGTTGCTCAGTGTCTGCTGAGAGGGGAACACGAGTCTCTTCAAGCCTTAACAGTGGCTGAAACACACAGTACTGTAAGATGCACTGCCAGCATATTTGGTATTTTAAGATAAATCTAGTTTTTCCTTAGAGATCAAATTCTAGTATTGAAATATTAAGTCTTATTGTAACCAGTTTACTCTCGTGTTGTTTTGGAAACTGAATCCTAGCGCTCATGTTTCATACTGAACACTCTGCTTTGGAAAGTTGTCATCTTCATTTTGCAGAAGGTATTGTTTGTGACAGTTTATCCTCCTGCCTTGTGGACTTTCTAGCTGCGGGCATCGCCACGAACCCACTCTTGTAGCCAAACTTAACTTGTACTTTCCTTTCATGTTCATCAGTCTGTCACTCATAGGGGTGGATGTAACAATACTCACTGGACTTCTAGAGATTGGGTTTAAAAACTTGCTGCTATATTTGGAAACCTGATATGGGTCATGTTAATTGTGCCTTTCATCGCTGTTTCTTCTGTGTGCCAGAGTTGTCCATGTATATTTGAAGTAGTCATTCAAATAAATCTGTTCTCAAGCTCCTTCCTAAAAGGAGGGGACAGGTCTGTATCTAGAGACAGTTGTTGTTGCTTTACCATTGCAACACGATGAAGATCCCTACTTTCACACCGTCCCAAGGCAAGGTATTCCAGTATTATTCCTAAATAAAACTGCTTCTCAGTGTCACTTAAGACCCTCATAACGTAGAGCTTATGCCAGTACATGCGAGATACCTGCAGTAAGAGTTATGCTAAATAGACCTGTTGCAGTTAAATTTAAGCTACGGAGATGTTCAAGTAACTTGTTTCTAGGAATGTACTGCAAAAGTATTTGAACAAAATTGCTAACATGTTTACTGTTGTAAATATTTTAATAAAAAAAAAAAAGGACACTTCAAACTTTTTTACACAATTATCTACAATAAAGAGAAATTTACAACCATTTACAAAATGTTCTTAACTTTTTCTTTACTGCCAAGACAGCTAAGATAAAAACAAAATAAACATTACATACATGAAGTCCCCGTTTTATTTCACTCTGTATTTATAAAAGGAACAAAGCATCTTGGTGAAGTTCCAACCACAGGCTAATGAGATCAAGTAGAGCATGATGAGAAGTGCGAAGGGATACAAAAGAATAGCTGTGTTCTTCAAAAAGGGCAATGCTGAAACAGAAGCAACAATGAAAAAAGTGTAATTCAAAAATGCTGCTTCATGTAGGACGTCAAGAAAAAAGCAAGAAAACATAGTACAGCTCTGCCAGCCTTGTTAGACGGGCAGGTTTGTCATCTCTGCCCCACTAGTCCTGCCGTTATCACAGCTAAAAGAGTACTTGAGTTAATGGGTGTAGGTATAGGAAATAGTTTTACCTACAACTACAGTGTTAAACTTTCAACAAAATTATTATCTGATGAAGACATTTTGAAGTAGATTTACAGAGGAACAGGAAAAACAAGCTGTGGTGCTACAGGTCTGATACAAGAAGGGAAGTGGGTATGGTGAATAGAAACTCTTTGAGGTGTTCACCCACCTGGAAACACAGATTGGTAAATTTCTATCAAACTACTTTTACCACAAAGAAAGAGTTACTTCGACACCCCAGCTAAGCCTCTGCTTTACAAATTAACAGAGTAAGATCAAATTAATAGACTGAAATCACACTCTTGTTTTTCAGTCGAACAGCAAAGAAGTTGCTGTGACTTACCACTGTATCCTAGGAATGTCACATAGATGTAGTAGCCAATTGCAATCAGCCATAATGTATTCCCAACAAAATACCCGATGACAGAATTGGATATGATGACATCTGAAAGAGACAACTGCTCTCAGCTGTTTTGACAGAGCACCATTTTGAAGCAGAAAGCACAAAATATCCTACTTACAGTTGATGAAAAACAGCTGGATAAAATGCAAAATGACTAGAAGTGGATAGAAAGCGTTCAGATGAACATCAAAGGCGTATCCCCACTCCACGTCATAGTCTCTGTTCTGCTGCTTCACCAAGTACTTATTAGAAATGAACCTGCCACGAAAAGATATTTGAGAATGTTGTTAGTGTGAATCGATGAAACTGAGTGACAAAAACGTTGGTTTGGGACAGTAACCCATATGTGATCCTAACTCTCTACCCTGACCAAGCATCCGGGAGAAGAAAATTATGCAGACCAGGCTATCATTAAAACATTTATGTTAAAAGTATAATTACATTCCTTGCATTCCCCAGAGCAGCTGAAATACAGTGCTGGTAATACAGAAAGATAGCAGCTCCATACAGGTACTATTTATCGACGCAGCTACAAGTTCTCAGGCAGGGTGCAGTGCCACTTGTGTCTGTAGGCGCACGGAGCTGAGTTCAGACAGGAGCCTGCACAGAGATGGCTCTACAGCTCTACAGAACCAGTGCCCCGCAAGGACAGGAGGAGGGCAAGCCCACTGCTCCTGAGATGAGCCCATTCTTCTCCTGAAAAGGAGCACTAACAGACCGTGCAATGCTGGCTGTTAGAGTCTACAGAACGAGACTCGAGACTTTGTTTCCTCAGCTGAAGTTCTGCTGACATCAGAAAACATATCCCTTTTAGAAGAGGGACAAGAATCATAGAATCACAGAATGGTTTGGGTTGGAAGGAACCTTAAAGTTCATGGAGTTCCAACCCCCCTGCCACGGGCAGGGACACCTCCCACTAGAGCAGGTTGCTCAAAGCCCCATCCAGCCTGGCCTTGAACACTTCCAGGGATGGGGCATCCGCAGCTTCCGTGGGCAATCTGTTCCAGTGCCTCACGGACCTTACAGAAAGGAAGAATTTCTTCCTAATATCTAATCTAAATCTCCCCTCTTTCAATTTAAAACCATTACTGCTTGTCCTATGAATAGAAGGGAAGTCAATATAGTAAAAGAGAAGTCAATAGAAGAAGTCAATATATGCTCAGAAATAAGAAGTTGAGAGGCCAGAGCTTTCATGGTAGTTTCCCCTGAGGTACGCTCTGTGCCAAGGGCAGGGTCAGAAAGGGGCAGAGCTGGGGTACAAGGTAAAACAAGGCAAGAAGGGGTTTAGACTCATTAGGAACGTGGGGAGCTTTTGAAAACAAAGGTGAGCCTGCACTGCAAGAAGGGACTTGAACCACACTGGAGCCAGGCAACTGGTCTGCAGGAAGCTAACTAAAGGACAGAGGGAAACCAGCAGATGATGAAGTCTTTCTGGTTCAGGAGACTGCATCCAGAGTCACAAATTGCTGGAGGATGGGGGAAGTATTACTATATGCTCTTCCCGAAACAATTTATGGATTGCTGTCCCAGACAGGAGTAGGTCAGATGGACCTTTCATCTATCAGCTACTGTTCTTCAATGTGCCTCATCCTGAATTTTGCAATTGCAAGCAGGAGTTCCTGGGGTCACTGTTTGAAAGGAGTCTCTCTCTTTTCCGATCAGCATCAGTTTAAGATGTCAGCTGCATTACTAAGAACTCTTTTTAAGTGCTCTTACTTCCTGAAATTCTTGGTAAAATAAAAATTCTTCCTTTGGTGCCCTCCCCTTGCCACAGCGTGGAAACTGTGACTTCCCTGTCTTGCTGCTGGGACTTGTTTCATGGTTCCTGTGCTGGTGGCAGGACACATCTGTAACGTGCTGAGATCTGGGTTATGATCTGACTCCCCACTGCCTCTCCCCTTCTCTGAGTCTCTGGACGTTACAGGATAAAACTGACAGCTACTACCACCAAAGCAACAAAGGCAACCAACACATGAAACAGAACAGACATGGCTTGCAGTGGAAGTAGCTACAATCTGCAGCAAGAAGCATGAGCCAATTGTATACTGCCCTACTTAAACATCATTCTCCCCAGGCTTACTTTACTGAAGCTGTTCTAACAAAATAAGGAGTGAAGAATATTTTTTTTTTTTTGATCACCTCATTTTTGATATGGCATTATTGCTGAAGATTAACCAGCTCAAGAAGAAAGAAAACAAGCTGAAATGTTCTTCATAATACAGACTTTTTGAACATTCATCCTCTGCAGGAAATGGGAAAGGAAAAAAAAAAAAAAAGCAAAGCAACATTTTGAAACAATTGCAACAGCACAAAACCTGTAGTTAACACATACTTCATAATTTTGTCCCAAATAGAGAACAAAGGCTCTTGCAAACAGCAGGGGACTATCCGTGTCCAAACAGCAATATTGAGCTCGGTTTCAGACATCACTACTTACCACATCAGAGTTGCAATCAGGAGGCCAACACCTACACAGTCTATGAATACAACCCAAAGTAACAGCTTTATTGTTTCAAAAAAACCCATGTCCAGCACAAATCCAAATCCCACCGTAGACACTGAAAGGAGAAAAAGATAATTAAAGTTAGCTGTGGAAAAGAAAGCATGAGATCTTAGACCAACATGTTTTGTTGAGTATTATTATTATTTTTCTCCCTGAGATCTTCAGTCAAACAGATCATTTTTTTCCCCCCAAATATTAGGTATAATGCAATTTATTCATAACATAATCCCTTTCACAGACTGGAGAACAGTTGTCTGTACGTGGGCTTAACGATATAACAGCAAATTGTATTGCTCTGCCCAAACAATTTGTTGAAAATTCACACAATGCTACAATAGAATTGTTTTATAAAAGCTCCTTGTTAACCCAAACCATGCCCATGGTTTTCTTTCAGAGTTAACAATTTTTATATTATTAACAGCAATGTGCTACATAACAGAAGACTAAGATAATGCTTCTTACTATGTTTTCAATTCAATCTAAAAATTACACGAGATGCTTTGTTTATAGCTTAATTCTGCAATATACAGAATTTCACAAGGGCCTTTAGTGTGAAAACAGTATTTTGTGTGTAAAGTTCAGATAAAATACATGTTCAGTATTTATTAACTAAATTGTTACTGTGTGGCATAGGGTTTTATTACTGTTTCTTAAGTTGCAGGGAACTACACAGTCTGAAGTGCAATAGAAAATGAGTTGCAATAGAGAGACTAACTCAGGACTATATAGTATTAGTTATGCCTCCTCTGTTTTCTAATTCCCAGCTTAGCTGCCAAAAGGTTAGGCCGTTTTCCTGTATTCTACTTTGATAAAAAGATGATCCACATGGATTGGTCCTTTTTTTTTTGTGCGTGTGTGTGGGGGCATGTGATTAGAAGGGCCACGAGTGTTCATCCGTAAGCTTTCCCTCCCTCTGAATTTCACTGAATGTTTAGAGTTGGAAGGGACCATCAAGATCATCTAGTCCAACTCCCCTGCTGAAGCAGGACCACCCAGAGCTTGTCAGAGCATGTTACCCAGGACTGAATCCAGGCGGGTCTTGAAAATCTCCAAAGAAGGGGACTCCACGACCTCCCTGGGCAGCCTGTTCCAGGGTGCTGGAACAGGTTGGTGCTGGTCTCTTCTCACAGGTAATTAGTGACAGAACGAGAAGGGAATGGCTTCAAGCTCCAACAGGGTAGGTTTAGATTGAACATTAGGAAAGAATTTTTCACCAAAAGAGTGGTCGGGCATTGGAACAGGCTGCCCAGGGAGGTGGTTGAGTGTGTTTAAGGTGGCTGTGTTTAAGGGCTGTTTAGATGCAGTGCTAAGGGACATGGTGTAGGGGAGGACTTTGTAGAGTAGGGTAGATGGTTGGACTCGATGATCCCAAGGGTCTCTTCCAACCTAGACAATTCTATGATTCTAGGGCTCTCTTTGATGCTGCCTCCTCCCCGGCACTCACCGCAGAGCCAGATACTGAGAAGCACTAAGAAAGCGGGATCATCTCTCGCCCATTGGTCCTTCGTCTGTTTTCTGTAGTGAAAGTTCCTATAAACCCTCTGGGGTGAGGTGAAGAGGTAAAGCATCTGCCAAAGGGCAAACTCGAAGTCCATCTGTCGGAAGTGGAAGAGCCTCCGCAGGTACTTGTAGCGTTTGGCCCCGGCGGTGTGCCTGGCAGCATCCCTGGGGCTCAGCACGCCGTTGCCCTGGCTCCGGGAATTCACCGCAGTGGTCGGCAGCATTTTGCTAAGGGAGGAATTTCAAGACAGGCCTTTGGTTTCGCGTATTCACCGGGACCGAAAATAAAAACCACACGGGCACAGGCCGCACCTGCAAGGCCGAAGTTACACAAAAAAAAGCTACGCTCGGGTATAAACCCTGACACTCACAGGCGAGTCCGCCGCGGCCGGGCAGCCGCTCTGCCGACCGCCGGGGAGGCGGCAAGCGGGGAACCCGGAGGAGTCAGCTCTGCCTCAGGCCCGCGGCCCCACCTCCTCAGCCCGGCGGGGCTCCCTCCCGGCATCCCGCTCCCTAAGTCACTCCGGGCCTTAGCGGCCCAGGGGTTCCGCGGGAGTAGAAATGGCCGGAGCGGGCAGCTCGGGACGGGGGAGGGATTACCGGCCTCACCGCTTGGCCGTTCGGCCCGACACCCACCGCCCGAAGCGACCCCCGCCACCACTACGCCCCACCCCACAAACAGCCGCCACCGCCGCCCCCTCAGCGGGAAGCGCCAAACCCCCTCCTTCCCTCCTCCCAACGGTCGCTCCCCCTCAACGGTCCCTTCCCCTCAACGGTCGTTCCCCCCCAACGGCCAGGCTCACACCCTCACCTGCTGCCCCAGACCCGCGGCGCGAACCCCTCCTCACCCGGCACCCGCCGCCACCTTCCGGCAACGTCGGCGGCGCAGGCGCCTCCGGTTCCCTTCCCGGTGCCGCCCCGCTTTCCTTCCCCTCCCCGCCGGAAGCGGCGGCAGGGCCCCGGGCGCTAAGATGGCGGCGGTGGGTGGCGGTGCCTGGGTAGGCCGCAGCGAGGCGTAGAGCCGGGCTTGGCCGCCATGCCCAAGTACTACGAGGATAAGGAGGAGGACGGGCGGGCCTGCGGGGGGGTGAGGGAGGATCTGCGGCAGTGCCTGCTGGAGAGCCCCTGCGTCCTGCAGGTGAGCGCTGCCGGTAGAGAGCCCCCTCGCCTTCAGCCTGTCCCCCGGTCAAATCCCGAGGCCTGCGCTTCCCGGTGCCCCGGGAAACCGTCCTCCGAGGCGGTACCCGCGGCCCTTCCCGGCGTGATGGGGGTCTTCTGGCAGGGGGAGACCCCCGCTCTTCCCCGGGCTCCGGCCGGGTCGCGACGGCCTCCCGTTGGCCTGAACCGGCCCTCTCTGTTTCATCCCTTTCAAACCTGTTAATTGGCGTTTTAACCAGGTTAAGATATTGTACCTTCAGAAGAAAGTCGCTACGCCACGGCAAAATCCCGAGTGAGCCTGGTTGGGAGCACTGTGGTGTCTCTCTGACAAGTCCTGGAAATCCATTAAGGTTTTAATGCTTTATTTTTCGTCTCACAGGAAAACAAAAGCCCTAAGCAATGCTTGAGGGAAGGACACTGTAGGAGTTTGCAAATGACGTTTTTTGCATGCAAAAGATCAATGGTAAGTGTTTGTGGTGTGTTTTTCGCTAGTGGCCGGGATGCTTTCTGTCCTTTTCCCTGTTGTCTGAAGAAAGCCACTTTAGTTTGTAAAACCCGCATCATAAAGCAGAACAGGTCTTGCCTTTGAATTCCATTTAAAATATTGATATTGTACACTGTTTTCATGAGAGTGTGAACAAGATGGAAAAAAAAAGCATATTTAAGTTCAATTAGGCTTAGCATATAACATAAATGAGGTAGGTATTTTTACCCTTTTTTTTTTTTTTAGTAAAGCTTTGGTTCAAATAATATTGGTAGATCAGGTAGCTGTAGGATATTGGCAAGCTAATTTTTGTCTATCAACAAACATTTAAGTGAAAGAGGTGTCCTACTGAATGAGATTTCTGATATACTTCAAGTTTCTTGGTATTCATCAGTTTTCTTGGAGGACTTGAAGTCATCATAAAGAACGATTTCAGTTTTTTTTTTACTGTGATTGTGAGAAGCCAGTTGTAAAAATGTAGTTAGATAAAGTATCCCCAATTTTGATAGGAGTACCTTGTTCAGAAATATCTTGCTTTTGTTTCCATAACACTTGAAAATAGCTAAGATGAGCAGGGTTCGTTTTTATTTTTAGCCAGCGTGGTACACAATGAAGAATATACGGCTGAAACCATACCTAAAATTTTTCTTCCATTCTGTATATTTGCTTAAGTCATAGAGGCTTTTTGTACCTCTCCTATATAAACTGTATTAATCCGCAAAGTGACAAATAATTTTTGTGGAGAGGAAAAAATGCTGTGTATTTAATGCTTGAAATAGGTACCTATTTGACGTGGTAGCAATATATGTTTCTCCAGATGATAGGCCTGTATTTCTGTCTGTAGGTTGTGAAAGGAGCCTTGTGACACTAAGTTTCATGCAGGAAGGGGGCTGGCTCTTGTATGATTCTATTTAAGTGCTCCAAATTCTAAGGCTGAAGAATGACCTTTTTTTGTCTGGTTAACTCTAAATTTCAGTAATTGTCCTCTGCCAAATTTGCTACTTTATATAATGGTGAGGCTTAAAGGGTATTTAAAAACAAGATAGACACTAAATGCAGATGTAACTTACAATATGCAAAAATCATTAGGGATTTTACCTAGATGCTGCTTTCTTTATAAGGAAATAGAATCTCTTACTAGAGGAATAAACTTTAGTACATTTCAGATATTAAAGTAGGAACAGGGTTTAAAGTGGAAGCTGCTTGATTATTTTGTGTCATCTTGCAGTTTAGCTCTTTACAAAGTCTGCTGCAGTTCAGAATCCTGAAAAAAGGTTAGTCAATTGAGGTAAAAGATACCTCCTCAATCTAATATCTGAATATGGCTGAATAGCAATCTGTAACTGCCATCTTCAAGACTGACTATCTAAATTCAGAAGAGTTCTCCCAAGGTCAAGGTATGTTTTTCTGCTGCACCAGGAAAGAACTTTCAATGTAGCTTCAGTGAGAGCTGTACCATAGCTGTAATTTCAGCTTTACGGCCATTTTTTGCCTTCCATTAATTGCTTTTTTTGTAAACGCCAAGAAGAAACTAAGATTTTTGCAAGCTGAATGTTATGTCAATTTTTACTGATATTTTTTTCAGACACTTGTATTTAAATTATCCCTGCCCTCACTGACATTTGCAGTGACTCCTGCTTCAACCCAATCAGAATTTTCCTCCTTTGGCTTGTCAGTTAAGTTTGGAAAAACAGATCTAAGCAGAAGTACATTACCTTTTGTTATATGTGTTCCTTGCCATCCCAATATGCTGTTTTGTCATTTGTGTTGGTACACTGTTTATTTCACATAAAATTACCACGTAATTTTGATTCTGTGTGAGATTCAAGGTAATACAATGTCTTTTTCCATGTAAGAACCCTATGACTTGTTGGCTACATCACTAATTTTCTTTACAGTGACTTTTGCTTTATTCTATGCTTTCTTCTGATGTTACGAAGTGCCAAGATGCATAAGAATTCTATAAAATACTACTTTTTGCAAAATGTATGGTTTTAATATGTTGACTTCAATTTTCAGTTGGATACCAGGGCAAGATTCAGAGGAAGGAAAGGATACTGAAGTCCTCGTGAAGAGACCCAGCCATGGGAAATCGGGGTCCATCAGCACTTTAAGCAAAACAAGAGACTAAAGTAAGATGATTGTATCTGCTGCATCCTTTGGTGCAGTATTTTGCTGTAAGGTATCTACTCCTGAGTATTCTGATAGACTCACCTGGATGTGCGTTTAAATGTTAAAAAGAAGGCAAGCATTAAACTGCAAGTTCTGGCCAAAATGGGTACTTGTCACACACTTGAAATAAAATATGTAAAATCCAGACTAAGCTGCAGAAGTTATCATTCTGTTTTGAAGTGGTCTTTTGTGGTTTTACTGATTCTGATCATGTTTTACTATTCCAAGTAGCACAAGATAGGGAACAGGGTTCACTCGACGGTATCCCCGAGGATACCTCGGGATAGTGCTGTCTTCAGAGATGACTTAGTTGGTCAAGGTTGTGAAATATCTGTGCAAGCTGCTTCCTCCTCAGTACGTTTGTCACCCACAGTGTTTTTGCACCACCTGTACACGGATGGTGTCTCTTTCCTCTTGCTACAAATTCCTTTTAATTTGAAGACTGATGTACATGGGTATTAGCACATTCTAGTCCTGTTGAACAACTAGATTAAAATGTTTGCTCTAAATTAAAGCATGTCTGATTTATCTTTCAGCCTTCTGATTGTATCATCACAAGTACAAGAGAATTACAGGATTATTCTAGTCAGTGACTTCAAAGCTCTATGCCAAGATTTAGCTAATCATATGTCTTTGGACGAGGGAGGAGAGGATTGCTCAGGCCAACAGTTAAGGACACCATGGCCACTATTACTGTGTTCTTGAAGTACATATTTAAGTTCCTCTGAGATGACCCTGGATGATCTTCCTGCATTATTTTCCCAGCAAATGTATAAACACTAATCCAAACATATATACAAATGAGGGATGATAATCTGGACTTCATGGTGTTTATCAGAAATTGTGCTCCACAAATTTTCTTTGTTAGCATTTTTCTTGTTTTCACTTTGTCACTTCTCTCTAAATTCTTTGGTTCCATTTATGGGTGTAAAATGCTCAAGCTGACATTCATATTCCTTCAAACTGCTTCTGCTGTCTACTTAAAACTTTCTCTTCCTTTCGAATTTTTTTGTGCTTAAGTTTTATATAGTTTCATAAGTCATAAAACAGCTGCACTGAAAAAGCAAGGAAATTAATAGATAGAGATACAGTTAATACTGTTTTGCTTTCCCTTTTTTCAAGGATGACTGTGGCAGATCTGTCTGCAGCAGGGCTGTTTTTGAGACATAAATAACATCTACCAATTAGTCTCTAGGGCCCCACCTTGGTAAGGAAGCGGGATTTATGGGAGTAACAAGCGTTAAATAGTGCTTAAGCTGTGACCGTGGCCAGTACTTACTGGTTCTCTTTAAGAACTTGTTTCTGAAAAATACTTCTTTTTCCTTCCTCCAGTGTTTCTATCTCCTTCCCTGCCTTTTGAAGCCTTTAAGAAATAAAGGGTAGCGTAGCTCTTACAAACAGAAACTCAAATAACTTCAGACAAGCTGGTTAGAAACAAGATTAAGAAGTAGTGAGACGGGAGAGAGTCATAATAACTTCTTTTCTTGGCTGAAGCTTGTAGCCATGTGGCTGATTTACATTTAGTCTGAACAGATGCGTGCAAGGCTTACTGTTGGTAAAATTGATGACTTCAGTGAATGAGTGCATGTTGATTATTTAATTCTGTCTCTCTTAACTGCTCTGTGACCAGTGAAAGTGTGTTTATATTCCTTGTATGTGTAGGATTTTATTTTTGCAATCATAAATCAACACCGATTTTACATTTTTATGTTCTGTGAAAGCTAGTTCATTTGTTGAAGTGCTGTAAACATCCCTTGTTTTCCCCAGCCTAGTTACCATATTATGTCTTTATGTATACTAAAATGATAAATTGATGGAACGTCTATAAGAGTATTCTTTATTTAGCACTCTAATTTCGAAGTATTATTTGCAAGGCTTCTCCATGGGAAGAAAAAATTTTTTAAAAAGGAGTAAAAATAAATTTGAAGCTACTTGGCAGGTAATTAAATGTCAGTTAGAGAGAAGAGTGGGAATAGCATATGGATTTGGTTGTCGAGGGCTCTTCCATGGTCTGCCCTGCTGCAGGGGACCAGAGGCTTCATGGCTCAGGCGATCTATTCCTTTTTCAGCAATAGTCATTAAGCCTCAACTAATGGTGCTGCAGGAACT